AAGGGGCCTTAGAACTAGGTAATGCACACAGGCTGGAAGTGTTTTGATATGCATGACACAAGAAGCCTAGAGTGCCTTTAGGAAATGGCAGGGGGAAATATGAACACCAAATGCAATTGAAATGAGGGTTAAGAAAGAATTCTTTGATGTAGAGAAAGGATATCTGACTTAGAGAGTACATATATCCTGATCACCGAAATGTTCTTAGAACTATGTGTGTTAAAGGAGCTTGTGGTGTGTTTTCAGATGGAGACTAGGAAGAGATTATTGGAAACCTGAGGAAAGGTGATCCTAATTTTACAGTGGCAAAGGCTTGGGCTGTATTGTGTTCTTAGTGTCTTTGAGGAAAGCAGAAATTGTAAGTGATGAACTTGCACATGCAGCTGATGTCTAGTGTTGTAGCTCAGGGCACAATACCCCAAAATGAGGGCTTCAGAAGTAGTCTCGGATGAAAAAGATTTTCTCTGACGCTCTTGGTCCTCCTGTCTCTTAGTCCCATTCAGCCCCGGGGGTTAAACACAGAGACCAGAATCCCTCTTCCTGAAGGTGGATCCTAGAAACCAGAAGTTCTTTTTTCTAAATATAGTCACAAAACCTAGACATGGTATCGTAATATTTTCCATATTTTCATGTAAAACATCTCCATGAAGAAATGATCTAACCTTTCTTGTTTGAATGGAAGCCACAAGACCCCTATTCCAGAGAGGGTCCTGCCCTGTATCCGGGAGGAAGGACTCTGTGCTCAGATAGGCCAAGCAGAGTCTAGACGCACAGGCCTTGCTGAGTTTCCCTCACTGAGTCTATTAGCAATAGATCATAGCCTTTTTGTCCCATCATATTTCTACACAGCTGTCTATACTTTCAGCCAAGGCATAAAAATAGATAATTTCCCATGTATCTTTGGCTATTAATACTAAAGGCTCCCGGGAATACACGTTAAATAAGTTGGTATGCCTCATGTTCTATGGATCTGCGTTTTGTGACTTGAGTTTTCAGCGAAACTTAAGAGGACCGGAGAAACCTTGGCCACTACACTGGCAAACTGAGAAAAGTATTTAGGATTTAATCTTGTTTCTCCTAGATCCATACAGTAGATGGGAGATAAGAGAGAAGAATTAGCCAAGGAAGCACTGAGGAAAAGGAAGCCAGCATTGGATGATTCAGAAGGTACTCAAAGTATGCAGATACCTTGCTCTGGAAACAGGTGCAAGGGTGCACCCGGAAAACCATTAGCCTAAGAGGTGAGGCATGTGGCTCACAGATCAAATCAATCACCTCTACAGAAGTTAGGAATTGAGATATGGGAGATATGGGTATTCAAGAAAGATCTGTAGACAACTTCTTGTCTGATGGCCTGGACTCATGTGAATTCCATGGGAAGCCAACAATTTTTTGAGAGTTTTATACCAGAAAAACCAGTTGCCAGACTGGACTGAACGGGACAAAGATGGGACGAAATGAAAGGAGGCTGTTAGAGTTCCTAGAGTGTACCGGCAAGAAAGGGACTGACTGAGGTACCCAGCTGTGACCATTTCATCATTTTTGAGACAGGGAAGGACTCCAAAGTTGGGTCAGAGATTAGCAAGGCCGTCACTGCCCCCAAGAACCAGGAGCACGTTAATAGGGGACTGGGGCATCTCTCTCTTGATCCCAGAAACAGAGATCACCTCCCAAGTTCCAGGCATTCGTCCCACTTCCTCGGTTTCAAGGGATGGGCTGCAGCAGCCCAGGCTGTGGGGAGAGCCCCCACCCTGCTGCCCAGGGCTTAGGGTGTAAAGCTCTTACCCCATTGGGCCTGAAGGACAGAGCATTGAGCCCAAGTAGAATCTTTTCCATCCTTAGAATCTAATGGAATTTGCCCCCACTAGGTTTCAAAAGTGCTTAGGGCCCACGAACTCCAGTAGCTTTTCAGATTTCCTGCTTTTGGTATGATAAGTCCTATCCGGTACCAGTCCCACAACTGTCTGTCAGAAGCAGATAACTTGTCTAGCTTCACAGGTGCAGTGGTGAAGAGAACTCCTGCCTCAGCATGAGTCATACGTGGAGACTCACCCATTCCAGATATAGAAGATTATCAGGTGAGATATTGGAGAATTGATTTTGGAGTGAGTTAAGACTTTGGGGATGTTGTGATGAAATGAATGTACTTTCTATGTGAGGACATCAATTTGTGCCGCGGAATGGATGCAGATGTACCAATATGGATGGAGTTGTGTCTCCCTTAAATTCACAGGTAGAAGTCCTGGCCCCTAGTATTTTAGAATGTGACCTTATTTGGAGAGAGTCTCTACACAGGTCATCTGGTTAAGGTGAAGTTATGAGGTTTGACCCTGCCCAACAGGATTAGTCTGCTTACCAAAAGGTGACAGAACTGTGAGATTAAAAATAAATAGTGTTTAAGTCAGCCAGTCCCTGGAACATTTTTGCAGCGGCTCTCGAAAGCTAATAGAATACACCTCCATCAACAGCACTAAAATCATACAACCAATCGAGGAACCAAAGAAGCACACCCTTCTAATCACAGCTTTCCCCTTCAACTCCCATTGAACATCCCTGGACAACTAACTCTTCCTAGTTCAGACCGGGAGACCTGATCACACTTTGGACTGTGGCTCCTCAGCTGCAGATGCCTTACTGGCTGACCCGGATCCAAGTGGAGCTTGTGCTGCTCCACTGGACAGCATTCCATCATCCCCATGATGCATAGAGGCCAGTCATGAAGATTTTCTTAAACAAAAGATTCTAGCCTGAAGAAGAGCAGAATCAGATAAATCTAAACAAGTGAGATTTCATTACGAGGGAACCTAGAATAGGCATTGTTCCTTAAACTTTTTGAGGAGTAGTTTTCTCTGTGCCGGGTTTGGGTCCTTGCTTATATTTTCAAATGAACTCCAGCTTACAGGGAAGGCTGATCAAATGCTCGACTGTACTATCTTTATCCCATTCATGCTATTTTCCCTACATTGATACTTCTTATTTGTTGTTTGGGCAGTTAAGCTCTTTCCCGTAGTTTGTGTTTCCTTAAGTCACAGCATGACAGCACGACTGCTCACTAGGTTCCCCTTCCACTCAGTCACCCACAGAAATGCTGTATCAAATGTGTGAGCTTCCACTTCCAATCTTCACATCAATCCACCCCTTTCCTCTTTCTTCCTATAATTCACCAGTGTCAGTCCCCTTGCCCCCTCACTCTTCACTCCCCACAAGCAAGTCAGATTTCATTGTTGACCCTGTTTTACTAATGGCCCTCTTTGATTTCTGAATTTACAAAGGGAAAACACATATTCCAGGGTAAAATATCCAAACCTCCCAATGGATTTGGTTTCTGAAAAGGACTTGTCTAATTACACACATGTGCAAGGTAACTCAAAAATTTATTTGTGAGTCTTAATTCACAGAAACATTGGCACTTCTGTGAGCAATTAGCATAATGAGAGAGAATAAGTCACTGAGTGAGATGTGGTATTTTGGATGACTACACAGCTCTGTCTCTGGAAAACAGGGTTCTGTAAGACTCTTTAGTTTTGTAGAGTGTTATTTCCTGGACTTGTAGGAACATTTGGCGGCACCATCAGGAGGATTACTTACAGCTGATTTTGTGGGAGAGTTCCTAGTCTCCTGGTGCATTGTGAGGCTTCAACCCCTATTGCCCTACATCTTGTTTCTCTTCAACTATTTTCATATTTTTCTAATATTCTGAAAAACAAATCCCAATGAGGACTTCTTGGTTTCTACATCCTTTCTCTGTAGGGGACTTCTTGGTTCTACATCCTTTCTCTGTGGATCCCAAGTGGAACTCTGGAGGTGACCTTCCCCCGCATTCCCATCTGCAGTACTCAGGGAAGCTCTGGCTACTATCCTGCCCTGAACACTTTTCCCTCTTGACTGAGGGGTCCTCTTTAAATGGTGGAATAATCTATGTGGCTATGTGTTGGGTCCCTCTTGGGTGGTTCTTTCTCACTTCTGATGGGCTCAAGAAAATTTTGATTTTTGTCATTTATCCAGCTTTTGTTTCATGGTTTGACCGAGAGTGCCATCCTTTACTGGTTTCTACATATGAAAGAGATGGGTTGTTTATGAGATGTTTCAAAATTCACGGGAAACATTTAACAAAAATGTTGAGCTTCAAGGCACAACATAATAAATTCCTGTGGGTTGTAATCCCAGAGTATGTTTTCTTGTCCACACACTCTGGCAGCTGGAAATCAATTGAAAAGAAAATTAATGGGAAAGTCACCAGATGCTCTGAAATTCAGCAATACACTTATAGAAAAAATGCTAAAAATATGAAGACTTGGGACCCAGAAGACAGCACAATGAAAGATAGCCTATATTAACATTAACATGATTATTAATATGTAAATCTCTTGAGGAAATATGCATTATCTTACTTCTCCGAATGGCTGACCATGCTATGCATCACTTGATTCCAGGGGCAAGGAACATATACTACTCCTAGCTTTGGATTCATATCCTTAAATGACCATGATTACAAACACTGAAAACAAAAACATGAGGTAAAGAATCACATTGCCTTCCCTTGAACCACCAGGCTGAATATCACAGGAAGGCTGTTGTGGGTTCAGCCTGGGTCACTCGCCCCACACTGGTACAATAACTCATGCTGATAGACTACAGGTCACTCATTGGCTGCACCACTGAACACTAGTGCATGAGCAGTTTTTGTAGACACTCCCTAATCCTACTGACACATACCTGGAAGTAGGAAGGTTTCTGTTCAAAAAGATAAAAAAAAATTGTTGTTAGGGCAAAAACAGAATGAATTGCAATAGTGATCTCAGAGTTGAGGAAGCTTGAATATGAAGGGATTCTTAAAAATTTTATTTAGCTATATCTACACTGTAACTGGGCCTCATTCACTTATTTACATGGATTCGTGATGGGAGACATATTGAAAACGTTTAGGAGGGTTACCTTGGTTCTTATATCAGTGTATTCACTTTCTCTGTTGCCATATCACACATAATGAAGTTCTTGAGAATTCCATCATCCAGTCGCAGCAGAATGAAAATGAAAACGGTAAGATCAGTCAATGATAATATCACCAGAAAGATAACTAATAAAAGTGACCATTTAGGAAACCGAGTAAATGAAACACGATCACAGAAAAACCCACTACTCTTCCTTGGAGCAAATTGCACTACAGATGTATTGGAGTTTGACAATGTTTAGTACTGCGGGGAAAATGCTTGAAAAATCGCAGGACGCCATACGCCACATGTCCCCCAAATCGGAAGGGCGCCACTCACCCCAACCTCCGGTGGGGTCCCCCCCTTGGCAGGCCACAGGTCTTTCAGGCCACATGTGGTGACTCTCAAAATAGCCTTTGGGTTTCCGCGGTGCTCAGGCGCTCCTGAGGCAGCTCACTTGCTCCTGGTGTACCTGAGGACAGTATTTGTGCCCTGAGACTCGGCGAGCTTGCCCATCTCCCCTGGCAGCAGCAGGTGCATGGCTATCTGGATATCCCGGGAGGTGATGGTCATGCGCTTGGTGTAGCGAGCCAGGCGACCAGCCTCGGTGGCGATGTGGTCGAATAGGTCATAAGCCATAGAATCCATGACACTCACAGCCTCCCAGGAAAGGCTGAGGCCCTGGTGAACCTGCTTTAGCACCCGTGGAAAATAGGTGGCGAAGCTGTCCCCGTGGTGGTTGGAAGGGCGCCTGCAGGACCCTCAGCGATCTCACTTCTGCTTCTGGACAGTCGTGGAGTTGGCCTCTTTGGGCTCTTGGGTGCTCAGGTCTTCCTCAGAGGTCGTCTTAGAGGTAGCCTCAGCCATGATGGAGGCAGCGGCCATTAGATAGGATGAACAGACAATGGCGGTTGTGGACCGGGGAAGGTGGGGCACTTTGGTATGGCCGCATGACTCTACGACACAGGACAACGCCACATCTAATTGGATGAAGTGTCACCCAGGGAGCCTGTCAGCAAACCTCTCTGCATTGAAGGTGACTGGGTGGTTCCGTTGCTTGTATCACGTTAACGAATCACAATGGGAGTCTGACGGCCTAAGCGCCCCATGTGGTCTACCTCGGAGAAAGTTACACAGATAGATGCAACACAGGGCAAAAGTGCATCAGCCCTACTCAACTGATCCATGCTACACGATGAGCACTTTGAAGTGTGTCACTGAAAACTCCCAAAGTGTAGCAATTTCAGCTCATGCTCATTGAAAACAGCCTGAACTCCTGAGCCCAAGTTCACTATGCCAGAGGAATGACTGTGGCCACGTGTGGACCATTTCTCACCCATCTCAGAATCTACTGTTATCCTGGGCTAAGTCGCCCTGGCTTCAGCAGGAACAACCTGACATGGCTGCTGAGGGGTCCTGGGCATAAAGGGACCTGGCTGTTGGGCTCCTGTCCTCAGTTATGATCAACACCTTTAGTGAATGTGGGTAAGGAACGATGGCCAAACCACAGTCTCCAAACAGAAATTGGGATGCTTGTAAAAATATTACAAAATCCTTAAACATGCATGAAATTTAAAACTGTTTTCTTAACAGTATTTGATCCCCAAAATACTCTGAATGTTAGTATTGGTGAATAAGTGATGTTGGGTGAAAAAACATTACCCCAATTCTCTAAGAAACCTCCTTATGGAGAAAAATTGAATCCATGAAATTGGAAATATTTTGAAGTTAAAAAATACCCTTCAAGAATCTATGATAATATATTCAGAAACATTTATTAAATATATGAATGTAAAACATAAATCCCAGAAATTGAACCAAACAAGGATTTAGCAATTAAGAAGAATTGAAGAAACAGTGGTCACCAAGAAGGTACCATCCCAAATTTCAATGCTGTTTCCTGTCAGACTTTTAAGATCAGGTCATTTATTGCTAATAAGATGGTTCCAGGTTTAAAGAGAGAAAACTTTTTCTTTTTTTGAGATGAAGTCTCGCTCTGTCCCCCAGGCTGCAGTGCAGTGGTGCGATCTCAGCTCACTGCAACCTCTGCCTCCCGGGTTCAAGTGATTTTCCTGCCTCAGCTTCCCGAGTAGCTGGGACTAGAAGCCCACACCACCACGCCTGGCTAATTTTTGTATTTTTTTTTTAGTAGCGATGTGGTTTCGTCATGTTTCCCCAGGCTGGTGTCGAACTCCTGGACTAAAGAAATCCTCCTGCCTAGGCGTCCCAAGGAGCTGGGATTACAGGCATGAGCTACTGCGCCCAGCCGACAAAACTTATTTCAAGAAAATATAATATGATGTTGATACCCATTGAAGGAAGCATACTAAATATATATATACACACACACATATATATACATGAGCAGCTCACTTATAAATGTGGTTACAAAAATCATACCTGATATACTAGTAATTAAATCACATTAACTTATAAATGTGGTTACAAAAATCATACCTGATATACTAGTAATTAAATCACATTACACATACACACACAAAAAAAGGGAAACAGTTTACTGCTATAAATAAAAATTCAGACGCATCAATCTGGGACAAACATTATTAATGGAACAAGCAGACCTCATATAATCTTTTTTCAACATTACCTCTGTTATAGAGTTCATTTAAACACATAACAAAAACCCAGAGTGCAGAAATAGCTAAGTCAAATAAATCAACGAACAACACTCTTTTTAAGCTTCCTAGAAACTGAAGTAACTGCTCTAACTCATTCACATTTGTCTAATTATATTATTTCCCAGTCTACAATCTTTTTTAATGCAAAGTTTAATGTCCTGTGAGTATGCATCACTTATGATAGAAGTATCCAATGAGAGCATCCAAACCCCACTCTTCACTGGCTCAACTAATGAAGTATCTCCAGTCCTGGGCTTCAGCCATTGGCTCAAAATGTGAGCAGGTCAAAGTGTCCTCCTAGCTGTTCAGCCTTGTAAATTGAAGAGAAAATTTGTTTGAGTTTTTTGTCTACTTTTTATTTCTCTGTTCGATTTTTCGTTTTATTGTAATTGTGGTGATTTCACGATATGAATCCACAGCTGTAAGCATGTCTCCTACCTCTTGCATCATATTGTGAAGAAAAATTCTCTGTAAAGGAATTTGGAAGAAAGAGGCTATTCCTGTGTACAGTTTGCAAACCAGGGAGGTGCAGACTTCAGTGTAAAACAAAGGTGCAGTTCCAGAGAACAAAGAGAGGATATGGCTTTTGTAAAGAAACTTCCTATCAACGTTGCCAGTACAGTCCATTTATGCAAATAAACACTTCAAACATAGTTCTGATTGGTTGACTCAGTTGAGCTCTGGTTGGTCAATACAGCTGAGCCCTTATTTGGCAGCCACAGATGAGCTCTGGTTGGTTGGTTCAGGTGAGCTCTGAAAGTTCCAAAGTTAGATAGAGGTGTGGGTTTTTGGGGAATTCATAGTACACATGTGAGCTCTAGTCAGCAAGTGGCAGCTTGGCTCTACTTTAAATTTAGGCTCAGTTAGCCCCTGGAATCCATCTTGAAAGACTGGCTCTTTTAGGTTCTTATTTGTTCACAAGTTTAAGAAAATGACAGTGACCAATTAAGAAAACCAGGGGCCGAGCATAGTGGCTCACGCCTGTAATCCCAGCACTTTGGAAGGCCGAGGCGGGTGGATCAGGAGGTCAAGAGATGGAGACCATCCTGGCCAACATGGTGAAATCCTATCTTTACTAAATATACCAAATTTAGCCGGGCATGGCGACGCGCCTGAGGTCCCAGCTACTCGGGAGGCTGAGGTAGGAGAATTGCTTGAACCCGGGAAGCAAAGGTTGCAGTGAGCCAAGATCGTGTCACTGCACTCCAGCCTGGCAACAGAGCGAGATTCCTTCCAAAAAAAAAAAAAAAAAAGAAAAAAGAAAAAGAAAACTAGGATGATTCTCCCTTTTTTTTTTTTTTTTTTTTTTCAATTTGATTGTTGTGGGGCTTTTTCCCTTTCAGGCACATGTGTCTGACAAAATTAACCCACTATGGTAATTTGAGACAATAAAAACAAAAACACTTACTTCAGTACAATGACTTCTCCAAAATGTGATTGGTCCTAATTCTTGACCGAATATAATACTCTTCTTCTTTCATCATAGATTGTCACTCTGGAATAGGAGGGAATGAGTGTAGAAGTGAGTGGGGACACAGAAAAATATTTAAAGGGTGACTATTTACTTTTTTTCCTTATCCCAGACATTTTCCCCAGCATAGTGACTATATGTCCTGATTTCACCTGTTGACCCAGAATAATTCTTTATTATTATTATTATTATTATACTTTAAGTTCTAGGGTACATGTGCACAATGTGCAGGTTTGTTCCATATGTATACGTGTGCCATCTTGGTGTGCTGTACCCATTAACTCGTCATTTACATTAGGTATATCTCCTAATGCTATGCCTCCTCTCCTCCCCTCCCCACAATAGGCCCTGGTGTGTGATGTTCCCCTTCCCGTGTACAAGTGATCTCATTGTTCAATTCCCACCTATGAGTGAAAACATGTGGTGTTTGGTTTTCTGTTCTTGAGACAGTTTGCTGAGAATGATGGTTTCCAGATGCATCCATGTCCCTACAAAGGACACAAACTCATCCTTTTTTATGGCTGCATAGTATTCCATGGTGTATATGTGCCACATTTTCTTAATCCAGTCTGTCACTGATGGACATTTGGGTTTATTCAAAGTCTTTGCTATTGGACTTGTGAATAGTGCTGGACAGTGAATAGACTAAGTGAATAGTGCTGCAATAAACATATGTGTGCATGTGTCTTTATAGCAGTGTGATTTATAACACTTTGGGTATATGCCCAGTAATGGGATGGCTGAGTCAAATGGTATTTCTAGTTCTAGATCCTTAAGGAATCGCCACACTGTCTTCCACAATGGTTGAACTAGTTTACAGTCCCACCAGCAGTGTAAAAGTGTTCCTATTTCTCCACATCTTCTCCAGCACCTGTTGTTTCCTGATTTTTTAATGGTTGCCATTCCAATTGGTGTGAGATGGTATCTCATTGTGGCTTTGATTTGCATTTCTCTGATGACCAGTGATGATGACCATTTTTTCATGTGTCTGTTGGCTGTATGAATGTCTTCTTTTGAGAACTGTCTGTTCATATCCTTTGCCCACTTTTTGATGGGGTTGTTTGATTTTATCTTGTAAATTTGTTTCAGTTCTTTATAGGTTCTGGATATTAGCCCTTTGTTAGATGAGTAGATTGCAAAAATTTTCTCTGTAGGTTGCCTGTTCACTCTGACGGTAGTTTCTTTTGCTGTGCAGAAGCTCTTTAGTTCAATTAGATCCCATTTGTCAATTTTGGCTTTTGTTGCTGTTGCTTTTGGTGTTTTAGACATGAAGTCCTCGCCAATGCCTATGTCCTGAATGGTATTACCTAGGTTTTCTTCTAGTGTTTTTATCGTTTTAAGACTAACATTTAGGTCTCTAATCCATCTTGAATTAATTTTTGTATAAGGAGTAAGGAAAGGATCCAGTTTCAGCTTTCTACTTATGGCTAGCCAATTTTCCCAGCACCATTGATTAAAAAGGGAATCCTTTCCCCATTTCTTGTTTTTGTCAGGTTTGTCAAAGATCAGATGGCTGTAGATGTGTGGTATTATTTCTGAGGGCTCTGTTCTGTTCCATTGGTCTATATCTCTGTTTTGGTACCAGTACCATGCTGTCTTGGTTACTGTAGCCTTGTAGTATAGTTTGAAGTCAGGTAGCGTGATGCCTCCAGCTTTGTTCTCTTGACATAGGATTGTCTTGGCAATGCGGGTTCTTTTATGGTTCCATATGAACTTTAAAACAGTTTTTTCCAATTCTGTGAAGAAATTCATTGGTAGCTTAATGGGGATGGCATTGAATCTATAAATTACTTTGGGCAGTATGGCCATTTTCACAATATTGATTCTTCCTATCCATGAGCATGGTATGTTCCTCCATTTGTGTCCTCTTTTATTTCACTGAGCAGTGGTTTGTAGTTCTCCTTGAAGAGGTCCTTCACATCCCTTGTAAGTTGGATTCCTCGGTATTTTATTCTCTTTGAAGCTATTGTGAATGGGAGTTCATTCATGTTTTGGCTTCTGTTTGTCTGTTATTGATGTATAAGAATGCTTGTGATTTTTGCACATTGATTTTGTATCATGAGACTTTGCTGAAGTTGCTTATCAGCTTAAGGAGATTTTGGGCTGAGACGATGGGGTTTTCTAAATATACAATTATGTCATCTGCAAACAGGGACAATTTGACTTCTTCTTTTCCTAACTGAATACCCTTTATTTCTTTCTCTTGCCTGATTGCCCTAGCCAGAACTTCCAACACTATGTTGAATAGGAGTGGTGAGAGAGGGCATCCCTGTCTTGTGCCAGTTTTCAAAGGGAATGCTTCCAGCTTTTGCCCATTCAGTATGATATTGGCTGTGGGTTTGTCATAAATAGCTCTTATTATTTTGAGATACGTTCCATCAATACTGAATTTATTGAGAGTTTTTAGCATGGAGGGCTGTTGAATTTTGTCAAAGGCCTTTTCTGCATCTATTGAGATAATCATGTGGTTTTTGTCTTTGGTTCTGTTGATATGCTGGATTACATTTATTGATTTGCATATGTTGAACCACCCTTGCATCCCAGGGATGAAGCCCACTTGATCGTGGTGGATAAGCTTTGTAATGTGCTGCTGGATTTGGTCTGCCAGTATTTTACTGAGGATTTTTGCATCGATGTTCATCAGGGATAGTCATCTAAAATTCTCTTTTTTGTTGTTGTTGTGTCTCTGCCAGGCTTTGGTATCAGGATGATGTTGGCCTCATAAAATGAGTAAGGGAGGATTCCCTCTTTTTCTATTGATCAGAATAGTTTCAGAAGGAATGGTATCAGCTCCTCCTTGTACCTCTGGTAGAATTCGGCTGTGAATCCATCTGGTCCTGTACTTTTTTTCGTTGGTAGGCTATTAACTATTGCCTCAATTTCAGAGCCTGCTATTGGTCTATTCAGAGATTCAACTTCTTCCTAGTTTACTCTTGGGAAAGTGTAAGTGTCC